CTCAATTGGTTTTCCTTGGGTTTTAAGCACATTCCAGTGTGTTCTGGTGCGTTTGTATGCATTTACATGCATTTGTGTGCATTCAAGGCTAGAAAAATTGCAGCATGCTGTTCTTTTTTTCTTAAACTAGGGAACTGAACACAATGGTGTGAACTAGCCTCAATTTTACCATTGCAAATACTGTAAATGCGTTTTTTTATGCAGAAAAACACCTTGTCTGGATCTGGTCTGCAGATGGTGTGGACAAGCTTGGAACAGAAGGGGCAAACCTCTATGGACAAAAAAAAACCCAAATTGAATTGATTGCTCATAAAGTTGTATGACAAATGCATTTTGGAGCATTTGATCTGTAACACATCAGTAACAGAACCAGTGTAATTCAGATGTATCAGTAAATGCATACGTTGGTCCACCATGGAGTGGCCACTCCTCGGCAGCTATACAAGTCAAGAAATACATGGCTTCCTTGTCTGGGTGAGGGATGCACTGTGTCTTCATGGAGAGGGTGGGCTTTTTAAGGTTGTGCGATCCTAACTGCAGATTAGTTGATCCTCACTGCAAAGTATGTAAAGGTGTTATATATATATATAGTACACAGTATAGTGACTTTAATACTTTTTAACCAAAACCCTGATTATAGTGCTTTTGCCTTTTATTTTTATTAATCATATCAGAGGATTACCTATATGGACAAAACAAATGGAAATTTAATTTATTGTTCATAAAGTTGTATAACCATCAAATTTTGTGGTGTCAGTTATAGAACCTGTGTAATTCAGATGTATCAGTAAATGGGTAAGTTGGCCCACCATAGAGGAGTGACCACTCCTCTCCAGCATGTCCAAGTCAAGAAATACATAGCTCCCTTGTTGTCTGGGCTGGGGATGTGCTGTGTATATGTCCGAATGGAGAAGGTAGGTTTAGACACATATTTTTGAAGGTTGTCCTATCCTAGACTGCACATTAGTTAATCCTCCACTGCAAATGCATAAAAGTGTTATATATAATATATAGTGACTTTAATATTTTTAACCAAAACCTCATGTGTTTGCCTTTTATTTTTATTGATCATATCAGAAGATTAGAAAAGTGACAGACTTCTCCATGATAGACGGCTATATGGGTAGCAGCACAGTATGTGTATTTTTGTTTGCAGGCAGCATGTTCTCCATGAGGTTTTACGGGAGCACGCCTTTTGACACCCTCTCCTGCTGTTGCTAAATTATCTCAGCCACAAGAATCAGATTACACAGTATGGACAGCAGAGTGATGCTCAGTGCCAGGGAGATAAACACAATAGAAGACAATGCCTTGCTATGAATAGGAACTTTCTAACAAAACCTCAACTCATCAAGGACTTTATTATTTTAATTTTTCTGCCAATTAGCTCTCCTATTTGCTCACCGGTGTGAGCTGTTCATTTCATGCACTAGAAAAACCTCTGTGAACAAAGGGCAAGGCTGTGGATAGCTCCTTCTCAGTCAATGGAAAAAAAATAATGATTAAACCTGAAATAAAAAAGAGTGACAGTTACCTGTAAGGGAAATTACAAAATAGTTAATTGAATCGTAATATCTATATCAATATGGAGCCCACAGATAAACATGTTATGACAATGTAAAGGAATAGAACACTTTGTCTAAAATGTAATTGAACATCTCAAAGTATTGTTACTTATTTCTCAAACAAACCACCGTGTGTGTTTTACTATTTTGGATAAAGAGTATGCATTCCTTTGGATTGTCATTCAGTCTAATCCTGGCCATATTCAGGAGACAATAATTCTTCAGGAACTGATACCGGAAATATCAGATGCTCCACTATTTGTCATAAGCAGGGAAGCATTGGTGTGTATTCTTGGCATAGAAAAATATAACATTGCACAAAATATTCCAGGCTATCTGATCTCTTGCAACGTCTCACATGTCTTCAGTGGTTCATAGATAAGATTGTTTGCATGCTATACAAGGGGAGAGTGTCTACCTATTGCTAACTACTATATCAGTTTTAAGCAGCAATCTTTTCCTGTGTATATGCTGTTTTCCCAGCAGCATTTCATCCGCTAAGGTCAGGATCCCTGCACTGCAAGTAATCTCTTTTTATAGCCAGTCCCAGATGATGTCATCAAGGAAGTAGGGTGACTACATTATTATCATATGTGTCATAGGCCATAACCTGTATGTATCTTAGAAGCCTCCTTACATGCCATTGTGAATAAAAAGGATTATAAGGACTTAAGCTTACAGGAGGGGGTCACTTAAAGTCTCCAAAAGCACAGAAATATTGTGCAGTGTTGCTATGAGCAAACAGACTTTGTTTTGTTTATTTTTTGCTTTTTGACAAATTTGTCCTGATGAAAAAAGAATTGCTATTCCACAAAATCAGTGGAACCTATTTACTCATGCACATGGTACCTTGGGCTGTACAACATAAAAATTCAGGCATTTTTCTTCGCCCAGAAGCCACCAGTACTGCAAACAGCCATGTGTAGAAATCAATGGCTGTATGTGGCAGTAGGCAGGTATATGCTGGTACTTGCACAAAAACACATGTGCGTAAAGATGTATGCCCCGGATACAGACTGTCTGTGTCCATACGCATGCTTATGCAAGTATCAGTGTATACCTGCCTACAGCAGCAAGTGACAATTGATTTCTTCAGGTGGCTGTATACTACACCTTTGTATATACTGCATAGTTTGTATATATAGTTATGCATATAGTAGGGAAAGGTTAAAACCCCTGTCGGGCTTTATTTTTTGCTGCCAGTGTCCTGTTGGAGAGATTTCACTTCACTTCCTGTTCTGGAGATGCAAGAGGAAGTAAGGGGAACTCTCTTCAAAGTGAAGGGAATTCGTCTTTGTCACCAATAAAGATGTCCTAATTGGAAGATGTACCTTTGCTCTTATTCTGGTGACAGCTGTAAATTATCGGATTTATCATTGCTCACCGCCTTTCTGACAACGGTCACCCTGACAGATGGAGAGGTTAAAAGAGAACTATGGTGTAAGTGTTTTTCCCCATAGTTCTCTTAAGGGTTACGAGAGGACATATACTAGCGTCCTCCCGTGACCCAAAGCTCAGTATATCGCAAGCTATAGTGACAATTCTATCGAGATCCACCCAGCTGTGTGAATGACAGCTGGCTCTGCCTATCTAGAGGCAGAGACAGCTGTACCTGCCCCCTTCCTTGTCCGTCCTGACTGGAGGGGTGGGGGAGAATCCCTGCGCGGAGCCGTGACTGACAGTCATCGCTCTCTGCAGGGAGATGATCGAGAAGTGAGCCAGCGATGGTATGCGCTCACTCACTTCCCGTTCTATTGAGCCCGCACGCAACAGTTTTATTGTCACAGGTCGGCTCAAACTATGAGGATGAGGATTTTCACTCACCTCATAGTTCTCCTTTAACCTAGCCGGACAAACACATCAGTAAAAAGTGTTTGTAGGGGTTCTAATGCTTCCCTTACACTTTCCAAAACTTAAATAAAGGTTTGGCTATACATACAATTTAATATCCCTCACACATGATTGGGCGAAAATACGAAAATGACTCACCTGTGTGATTTCAAGATATTTAGAACTTCTAAAGAAAGGATTGAACTGAATGGAACAGCGAAGAGATAAGAGGGAATTCAAAGGGAAATCAGATAGTGGAAAGGACTTTTAAACACTTCCTAACTGCCCAAGACACAGTGGATCTCTATTTTTGTGGCTGTTCTTACCTTATCCTAATCCTAATCACAGGCTGGTTTTGAATCATGTGTAGAAACTACTGATGTCTTAATGCCATGGATGTCAATGTCATTAACATCTACCCTGACCACATCTGTCAGTTAACATTGGCACAATTTAACACATTCGTTACATGAAGTGATCTCAGTAAACCAGTGCTGCCAATGTGTACTAACACTGTAGTCAGGGTAGAAAATCTGTGATATGTACCTAAGATTAGATAGATACAGAGCTTGACCACAGTGTTTTCTTTTCATATAAATCTAGCAATACCTTTGATAAAACATAGTGCATATATGATTGCAAAAATCTATGAGAAATAGAGATGAAAGAACAAGATTGTGATCGAATCAGGAAGCATCATGCACTATATGCAAACCAAAAATCCCTGCTTCTATGCAAAAGTTTGCTACAAGTATGTAAAGATGTATAGAAATGGTTCATAAAATGGTTCATTGGGAATCTTAGATGGTGATAACACCCATCAAGTACCTAATACATTCTATATATGTAAACTATTTGGATTTGGCATATACAATGAGGCTGAGTTACTGAGAGTTGCGAATGTCCTTACAATAAATTGTGTGAATATTCACTTCAATAAAGTATAAACATATTCCACTTCTTTCATAAATCACTCTTATTGCTTACATTTTACTCATGTCGCATCACTCTATCCTATACCCGGAAACGCTGACAGTGAGGGACCCAGACAGCAGACTTAGGTGAATGAAATTTATTTTACAAGATAAGGAGATGGGCTCTATTGAGAAGCATATTTTTTTTTTTCCTAGAATAGATATATATCTATATAGATATATATATATATACATATTTAAACTTGCACACTGCAATAAAATAAAAGCTAGATCTGAATTTGCAAATATGCTACTTTGTATCGGTGAATAGAGTCTTGTAGTCACGCTTTGCCAGCTGTAATTCTTGTAGCTAGTAATTTCCTCTCTTGGATGCCTTCTCTTTCATTGTCTCACAAGCAGAGGCTAAGAAGATCCTCTTACTGTGAGCTGCATGCTGTGCAATGTAACAGTTCATGCACACAATGGTATCAGGATACATCCTTAGCCACCTGACTGCCTGCTGTTCATTAGGGCTCAAGGGAAGGCTAAAGGAGTGGTTGATGATGCTTGGAGTGATCTCACTGCCTCCAGCTCATCTTTCATTAGGGAGGAGTTCTTTGCTCTCAAGCTGCTCCAATCATAAAATCAGGAGGAGGGGTCACTGCCACTGATACTGTGATAAGAACTCAGACAATAACAACACACCGAAAAGAGCGCAGCTAAACCAAATTCCAATCTGCTCATGCACTAGCTACAAGGCTTTCCCCAGGACCGTTTTCACAATGATGTCCATGAACAGCAAGCAGCCGTTCAGCATGCATCCGATCTTACATGAACCTAAATATGCTTCCATACATACTAGCACGGAAGCCATCCGCAGAGCTTGCCTTCAAACACCACAGGTATGTGTCAGTTTATTCAGATAATTTAGGCTTGTAAACTTAGAAATACTTCAAATTAGAAAAGTCAGATCAATGCAGAGTTTTGTCAAATGAAAAGTTGCCATTGTAACAGCTTGTTATGCAAATGTATTAGATTCTTTGCAGGTTCAATTTCTGACAGCTTGATTTAAAAAAAAAAACATTAAATTAGTTTTTAGTAAAAGCTGATTTGTTTTGTTTTTTTGAGGTTCTAATTACAATCTGGCATTCTTGTAACAAGTGTGTGCTGTTTTAAATGCTTGTATGGCTGCAAAAGGGTAGTTGATGATAGATTAGTGATGCACAGAATCTGCAGCAGCTAGCATGACACATGTGTGCATTAGGTTTGTTAAACACTGAGCAAAAAGGATGTATTAAAATGTTTACACCTCTTCTGTTTTGCTTTCAGCTTCAAGGCAATCTCTTTTCTGGTTTTGATGAAACTTTACTTAGAGGAGCTGAAGCTTTGGCAGCCGTGGATATTGTCTCACAGAAAACACATCCGTTTAAACCAGATGCCACGTACCACACCATGAGCAGTGTGTCCTGCACTCCAACCTCTTCCTCAATGCATTTGCATCACCCTTCCGTCTTAACAACCCACCATTCACATCATCATCATCATCATCCTCATCATCACCACCAGCCCTCACAGGGTTTAGATGGGGACCTTCTAGATCACCTAAATCCTGCCCTTGCTTTAGGAGGTGTCCCGGGACCAGATATTGGAACGACACCCTCCCATCAACACACCCATATGTCTGCCATTAACCACATGGCCCACCACACGCAATCTATGAACATATCTCATAACCATACACTGGTAACTCACACAGCAATATCCTGCTCTGAGAGTGAAACAGACCCAAGAGAACTTGAATCTTTTGCTGAAAGATTCAAACAAAGGAGAATAAAACTTGGTGTGACACAGGCTGACGTTGGATCTGCCTTGGCCAACCTGAAGATCCCAGGTGTTGGTTGTCTCAGCCAAAGCACCATTTGCAGGTTTGAGTCCCTTACATTATCGCATAACAATATGGTGGCCTTAAAGCCCATTTTGGAAGCTTGGCTAGAGGAGGCCGAAAGAGCACAGAGGGAGAAAATGACGAAACCTGAAATCTTTACTGGGGGAGACAAAAAACGCAAACGTACTTCCATTGCTGCCCCAGAAAAACGATCATTAGAAGCTTATTTTGCTGTCCAGCCAAGACCTTCTTCAGAGAAGATAGCAGCAATAGCTGAAAAACTAGACTTAAAAAAGAATGTAGTTCGCGTCTGGTTTTGTAACCAAAGGCAAAAACAGAAAAGAATGAAATTTTCTGCAACATACTGAAAAATCAAAGCACTATTTTGAACTGACACATTAACTGGTTCCAGTCAAAGGAAATGTATATACACTCCAACCTGCAATTGTCTTCATACCTGGGCAAACAAATGAATTTAAAAGAATTTGGACATACAGTAAAAATAACCACCTGTAAAGTTGTAATGGTGAGTGGAAAACTTGGGATTGTATCTTTGGTTTGACATCTTTGAAAAACATTTAATGCGACTTTGTCAAACTGCAAAAAAATAATAATGTAAATCAAAACACAAAAATCTTAAAGGAATGACAAACAACGCTTTCAAAACTTGAATTATCAATCTGCTTCTCTCAGTTTGAACTACTCTTTTATATTTATTATTGTAAATATTAATCTGTGATGAAATTGCACCAATGGTAAAGTTTTAAGTTATTCATAATTTAATTTGCTGTATAGCACATACACACCTTGAATATAATATAATTTAATTTAATAAACTTGACACCCATTGATGAAAAAGGCAGTCTAATCCATTGCATGGTTTGCTTTACCTTCCTCTCCAAAATAAAATCCCATTGCATTTGCAATAACTCTTCTTTTCTACCTCATCATCTGCTAGAAAGCACATGTTCAGATCCATAAACTCTGTAGGAAGCAACTGAGTTCAAATAGTCATGACCCTGCTATCTAACTACAAAGATGCTTTGACAATCAAATGAGTTTGTTCACATTTACCCTTAGGTTTTTTTCCCCCATTGAAATGGATATGACAGTGTATGTGAAAGTACACATCTTCTCCAGCATTTTAGCACAATCTCAACAGTTTTGAGCGTTATTTTAATTTAATGCAAATGACTGATTACACGGGCGAGAGTTTTATTTTTAAAGTTTCAAATTTTAACTTATATGTATTCAATTTCTCATCGGATTGGTAAAGTAAATTATTTTAAAAATGTCTAATGTTGCACTTTTTTGGCAAGGCACACATTGCTTGGCGTATCAGAAATTTTCCACTTGTTTCATTTTTTTAAATGGAGTATTTAATTTTCTATGTGTGTACCAAATGAATTTTTGTGTCTCTGTGTATGCTACAGAATTAAAAATAAACCATGCACGATTTACCTCATTCTTTCTTGTATTATTTTGATGATGTTTTTGTCCTACCAAAGAACATCAATTGATTTTGTATTTTGTATGTTAGCTATATTATAAAATATGGACTGTTTTTTAAACTTTGTAATTCATATGTTGAAATATACAGACAAAGAAATATAACACATAGCAAATAACAATACATTTGATTGTTAACTGACAAGGAGAACACTGCTAGATGCAAATGTAATTTTCAGGTTTAGGTTTCCTATAGCTTCTAAGACAAACTGGTAACTTTTTTGTGACTACTTTAGGATGAGTAAGAGCCTTTAATACCAGACTTACCAATATGTAATTTAATTTGTAATATGCTTCATTACGTAACATAAATTAATGTCCCAAGTCTCATGACATAATTGAGCTAGAATGTTTAAATGCTCCTATAGTATTGTTGCACTTTAAATTTGGGTAATTATCTCTTTATTGTTCATCTGTGAATTATAAAGAACACTGATGTGTAAAAGTGTTCATTCACATTTTCTGCTTATAACATGCTACATACAATATAGATTATTCACATTACTATACAATTGATAATTCTACATATATAGAGTAGTCATATTACTGTACTTCTGCAACAGCTGAGAAAAATTGTATGGGAAGAAAATGGCTAGTGTTGCCCAAGAGTAAAGTGTCCTTACAAAATGGCCAAATAACACAAATTTAAGTGTAGGAAGATGAAGGAAATATTTTGACGTAAAGCTTAAGTCTATAAAATATTATTCTTTGTAAAATGGAACATTATATTTGAATTTATTGTTAAAATTTGCCTTGGGCAATAAGAGTATTCTGTAGTCAGAGTACTGACAGCTTTCATGCATACAGTACAGTATTTCTATATTTATCAATTATTTATATAATACTACCAGTTCCCTGTGCTAGGAAATATTAGAGTGTTTGCCTGTAAAACAACCATGTATTTTATATTAAACATAAAGACACGGGGTGTGTGTGAGTGTGTGTGTGTGTGTGTGCTTATGCAGAGGTGGATTCGCATTCTAGTGAACTTAAATTTCTGCAAAACTGTAACTTAGCTATGGTAGAGTTTTTACTTTTTATAAAAGACAACTTTGTATGCTTCATTAAAATTATATAATATTATTAAATATTATTATAATATATTAGTATGAATCTGTACTAACTAGAGTTTTTCTCCACATTCATGTTTTAAAATAATACATATTAAGTTAATGTTAAGAAACTAGAGTAATACATAATATTGAAATTATTCCTACAAGCAAGACCATGTGATGCAATAAAAGGCATTTTTTTTTAGTATGATTGTGAACATATGTTAAATGTACATGGGCTGAGTTAAAAAAAAAATACATCTGGCAAGTCATCTGTCTAGACACCTGTCTACAGTTAAGCTTATCTACAAAAATGGCAAATTATCAGCAACTTTTGTAAGAACACTCGAAAAATTGGACAACATAAACTTCAAGAAACATGCATGTTTTCCTATAAGAATTATTCATTTCATGTTCTCATTAAGAGTGTAGTAGTGTAAGTTTGCATTATGTCCAACCGCATGTAAAATGTTAAATGTAAAGTACATATTCTATAGATTCTGCATGGTTGTTTTGTAGGATATAAAAAGTCTGCCCCGTATATTTATTTATCATATCACCAGATAAAGTAGATGGGCTACAGGGAACTCTCTGAGGGCTATGTTAGTTTGTCTGTTTACATTAAGCAAAAACATACACCAACTCTTCATAACTGTATCCTAGTTTGCCATTTTATGGATATCATCAGTCATACACTGAATTAGTTTAGACAGTCTGTTGAGTCAGCTTTTTGAATTGCAGTGATATCTTCATGAAGAGAAAGCAAGAAATAAACAGATCTATATGTGATTTTCTGAAATATATACGTCAGCATTAAAAGAATGTATGTGTGCCACAAATGGCTACATTTCATATAGCTTTACTCTAAAAAACATGAAAAAACAACCCTACAGAATTGTATACTAAAATAGTAATATTTACAGTCGCCTGCTGAACTGATCATGTTTTAAAATCTTGTTAGGCTCATTAAAAACGGATCGACCGGTCTAAAAATTACTCTACCCCCCTCATTTTTTTGTTCTTAATTTAATCTTAATGACATTGAATGAGAGTAAATGTATATAAAAAAGTATTTATTGTGCACACAACTGTTTGGAAAAATATAAAGTAACTATGTTTATTAGTATATTATAAAGTACATGTGTGTAGGAAGAATCTGGATATCAGTTTTTCTTTTCTTCGGTGTTTTAAACCTACATGAATTGCAGTAAGTAAAAGGAGCCTCATAAAATCAAAGAAATATTTCATTATCACAAGAAATGTCAATAAATACTAAAGCTAAGTGCACAACAAAAATGCTTTAGTACGGATCAAAACATAGATCAGAGGGTTATCCCTCATGTATTCTCATAGCCAAAATTGATTGAAAACACTTTGTAATTTAAATGTAAAGAGAAGACACAGCAAATACAAATGCACAAGAACAAAATATTAATAAGATTCTATCAAATTCTCCATTCAATAGCTCAAGTTTGACACCCAGGTCCATGTGCCCATAAGCATTAGATGGTGCTAGGAAGATCTGGCCACTGACTGATCATTTTTTAGGACAAATAAATGCACATTTATCAGCCAAAAGCAAAAGAAAAATGTAAAGCGTTGTAAAATTTCAACTACGTAGTCATCTCTAAGTTGTTCTTATTTTACAAATGAAAGATAACGCACAAAGGCTACAACTACTGAAATTTTAAGGTGCATAGTGAAATGTAGAAGTAATATATTTTTAAAGCATCTAAAATGAAAACATAAATACTTATAGTGATCTACTATCTTTATTGATCCAAAATTTTCAAGTCCTATTTGAACTGCACCTGTTTTTCACATTTAAGTGATACTCTTTTCTTTGTAGCAGATAGATGGTAAGATAGAAAGACAGATAGACAGATAGATGGTAGATGGACAGATAGACAGATAGATGTTAGATAGACAGACAGGTAGATAGATAGATAGATAGATAGATAGATAGATAGATAGATAGATAGATAGATAGATAGATAGAACAATGTATCTTATATAATTCCTATTTTTATGTACTTTTAGAAGAAAATGTGTTGTATGAGCCAATACAATTTATTGTTTAAGATTTAAAGAGGCAAAAAAATTAATTATATGTAAATGGTTTATTTATATATTGCCAACTTGTATCGGGGCATTCTTTTCTATTCTGGTATTAAAGTAAGTAGTGTCTTTTTCAAATGTAATTGTCTTTTAAAATATAATTATATTAATTACATTTATTAAACAAAAAGATTGTATCTTACATAGAAGTAGAAAGGTGGGAAATAATATATATTACAAAAAATGACTCACAGATATAAAATTAAATTATTGAAATGATTAAATGATTCTGCACTTTCATATTCTGTTCCTGGATTTCTAAAGTTACCGTGGCAGTTTTCCAGCATAAAATCCCAAATTTTATAAATAATGAATGCCAGATACAAACATATTGATTGCCTTGTATTCTGGGGAACAGAAGAAATTATTGGATATGCAATTTATTACACATATCACAGGTTCTGCTTCCAAAATGGGAACAATGTGAAAACATTTACATACAAAATTGCAGCTAGTCCTTGAAGACATGCATTTTAAGCTTATAAAATAAATATTAATAACATAAAAGTCAATATCTTATTAACATAGAGTAGATGCACTTAGTGCGTGACTAATAGTATTTGAATGTGATTTCTATGACAACCAAGGAATGTTAATTTGATGTAAATATATATACTATGAAATATAAAAGGTATATTTTTTAATGTTAAAAAACATATTTTAATGTTTCCAGTTACAGATTTTAGGCTTTAGGGAGTAATAAATAATAAGGATAATAATAAGGATGATAATAAGAATAATAATAATAATAAG